TCCAGCTTTACCCTCTTTTAGTTTTTTTTTTCTGTAGATTTCTCCCATTGCTGAATGGCCCACTTCTGAGTATTTTCCATTTGTTGTGCAGCCTGTCCATGAAATTCCTTGTTTCTGATTGTAGGATTTTTTTTTTCATGCCGGTTCCATGTTTAATATTTGATGCCTGAGGCTCTTCTGCATTGAGGTCCAAACCATGGTTTAAAAGAAGGCTTCGATGAGTAGTTAAAATGGGGTACAAAACGATTGTGTAGCCTCCATGAAAATAGAGGTGAAGGAATTAACCTTCTGATCTATATTGCCCTAGATTTCGTTGTCCCATTTTATATAAGACAGAGCCTAACTGAATCCTGTCCAGTTTGTATTCTCCCACTTACACATCGTTCTGGTTGTAGTCTCCCTCCTATGTGTTCTTAAGCTAATCTTTAAGACTTAAGCTTCGTGGTTTGATGTCCCGATATATCCAAAGGGGGCAGACTATACTGAATGGGAAGGTAGGTCAGGGAGACGATCCAGAGTGATGAGTTGGAAAGTCAACAAAGTTCTGTAGATTATGGACTGCCATTAGTTCATCGAAAGCTGATTTTCTCTGTGCTGGTTTAGGTCTGCAAATAACACAGAATGATGGCAGTTAGGTGGGCATAAGATGATCAAGGTTTTGCATTATGAAATCTATAAGTAGTTTCCCTTGTGATGGTGGCCGGTAGCATCCACAAAGAAGAATGCCGCGCCGTTTGTTGTCCACCAGTCTGAAGAGTATTAACTCAATGCCATCTGGTAAGGGAAAATCTATTATCTGTAGTTGTAGGTTTATTTTGTAACGGAGTGCAGTTCCTCATCCCTGCATATTTCTATCTCTACATATCCAGTTTGAACATCTTGAAATACGTGCATAGTTGGGCAGAACCCTGTCATCTAGGGAAGTTTCAGCTGCGAATACAATACCAGCCGTCAGTTTACTTACAAACTGCTGAGTTCTGCAATACTGGTGTGGAATCCTCTTAAATTTGCTGAAATTATGCATAATTCGCAATTTTTGCTACTGCCTTGGGAATACTCCTGCATAATGGGAGTATGGAGTCGGCATATACGTTGAGGAATGGCTTGGTAGATTTGACTGAAAAAGTTGGTAATTATAAAATCCTGTATATGGAGATTGACGGGGGCCTATAGTGAGTGTAGGCTATTACTGACTTTAATGTGGCTAGACTTTCCTGGCCATTAGTTGTGATAGGATTCACCGGGTCTCTTTGATGTTGGTCGGTAATCCTCTCCCTGCAAATTTCCTCTATGTGGAATTACTTATAGCAGTGATTACATAGTTTTAGTTTAACCCATTGCCGCCGGGGAAAATGAACAAAAAATGGGGGAAATGCAGTACTCATTTTTTATATTTTTGAGAAATTTCTCTGTCCATAGATGGCTCTGCTAGTCCTGATTTCACCTTTCCTTGAATTGGCGGGAAAAAAACGTATTTTCACTATTGCTATAAATATAGATGGTGTTATTTTTAACAGCAAATTAGGATAATGTTAAATATTTACGTAAATCGATGAAAAGGGTGAACGGGCGAGACAGGCAGTACTCGTAATTGGCTCATTGGATACTTAGTACAAGTGTAGCCATCTATGTGTAAAAACAATCGAACAAGTCGACTCACGGTGGGCATGGCATGGCAATGGGTTAAAACGGTCTGCTTGGGAGTGGCCTTGTCGGCTACACACTCTTCACTTTTCCTGAGAGGGTGACGAGTTTCTTGGCCCACATTGGTGGCCTATGTCCTCCTGGTTTCTTAAGTAAAGCCCTCTCCTTTAGGTGTTTTGCCTGGTGTATGGGCTCTGCCGGGAGGAATCCCGGAGCAGCGGTTTTCTCTTTTCCCTCTTTTCTCTTGTGACTGGTAAGGAGCCACTTCTACCACTTGTTTTTGTTTTTTGAAGGATGAATTCACACCTTTTAATTTTCTGGTCTTTTCTGATGCCCACCAGATATACAGCTCTTCACCTTCTTCGACTTTTTTTCCCCAGTCTTGGTCGATTTTATGTGGAAAAGCAGAGCAAGCAACCGAGCGTTGATATGTTTGTTCGTTGCTTTCTTGGGTAACACCAAGCTACCGATAAAAGAGATGGCTTCCACGAACGCTCTGCGCTTTTCGGAGAAACCGTTGACGATAGATGTGAACCTGGAGAGTTGAACTCGTGAAGGCCAGCTTCTTCCACAGGTTCCTGAAGAGACTCGCAGCCTCTCTTTGTGTCAGCGAGTCGAGCTTCGTGTCTTCCTCTTCAGCTACCTGCGTCGCCTGATCACCGGGCTCAGCAGCGTCGTTTTCCTGGAGGAAGGTGACGGAGTCCTCATTGCCATTCGATGCTCTCAATTTGCCCGTCTTTTTGCAATGAAAGAGAGGCTCATTGTTGAGGCATCCAATGTGGCACAAATTCGGACAGTTGCCCTGAATGCATTATTATTATTTGTTTCTGCCTTGATTTCCTTGCCATAGACAGAA